AATGATGATATCCGCTGAAGAACATTAGCCGTAGACAAAATTGCCACCAAAATAGAAATTTAACTGAAAAGCAATCCGAAGAAAAACATGTAATTTGAGCAAAGAAGTACATAAAAACTGATTTCTTGAAATAAATGTTAGCGATGAATGTAGAGCTACATTGGTTGCTCTACATTTTGAATCGTTCGTGGAAATCGACAAGAACAATTTAGAAGATAATAGAGAGATGTAGAAATGTTTTCCGCGACTATTTTACTCAGTAAAATTATATTCCTTTAAATATTTATGTGGATTATATATTTCTAAAGTATTTAAGAATAAATCATCTTCTACGTAGTTCGTTTACTTAATGCAACCTGATAAAACAAGTTAAATATTATAAGTTGAAACCATCAATATATATATATATATATATATATATATATATATATATATATATATATATATTATAAAATAGATATTATATAAACATAAGTACATTTTGGAAACTTTACCAGCATCGTTCGATATATTGAGAAAACATTGGTTGCATATCACAAGCTTTTTTATACATAGTATAAAAAGACAAAAATGAAGATATCAAAATAGATAGGAAGATAGATATAAACAGACTTAGATAGATAGATAGATAGATAGATAGATAGATAGATAGATAGATAGATAGATAGATAGATTGTAATAGTAAATCGCATTTTATGATATATGAATAATTATCTCAAATAAATATTCGCTCAATTTTTGAAGAATGATTTCAACTGCTCATTTCTTACTTTCAAAGGAAAACGACATTGCCGGATCACATTTTATCCCTGTGGTTCTAAAATATTTCGTTCACTCGCAAGAATGCAATTAACTCTTTTGCAAAATGAATGAAAATTGTTTGCATTGGTGAATAAAGAAGTCGACAGCGGTTTGCTTTACTCGCATGAAAAGATAATAACGTTAATTATTGCAATGAAAGGATTATAAATCCAAAAATTGTATCGTTTCACTTTAGTTGGCGAACAATTGATTAGAAACAGGCGACAACTAAATGATGCCCGCATTAAAGAAAGACGGAAAATGGGTTTTCATGAATGGTGTTTTAAGATCTTAGAAGTGTTTTCGGTTTTTTATCAATTATTCGGACAGATAACATTTTTGTTGTTTTTATCGTGACGTTTCATTTGAAATTTTCCTTAGTTTTACTGCATTCTTTGATGTTCAGAGTTAAATATCACATTACAATTCTACTTATTCCTTTGTCACTTATTTAATAAGTTAACACAAACATTACTCCCTACCAATACCTCATGAAAAATTGTCTATTCTGTTTTGATCGCGAGAAAAGAAGGAAAAATATATCAGAGACGCTGTTTAGTTTCAGTGAGAAAAAGAAAAAAGAAAAAAATAAAGAGAGAGAGAGAGAGACGGTAATTACGATGTTTAACGTTTATTTTAGTAAAATGGAAAAATTTGTCAATTTTGAATATTGTTTATTTGTACTCCCTTATTTCTTTAAATATTGACCTGCATTTACACTTATGATTGTGATTGTAAATATTTGGTTAAAATTTTAAGCTCAAATATTTAATGACGAAATAGGAGAATTTCCACGGATATTTTGTAATCCTGAAACTCGCAACTGGTTTATTCAACTATTAACTTAAAAATTATGATTCATGAAATATTAAAATAGCAAAACAGTCATTTTTTTAATTATTCTTTGAATTATTCGGACGTGTATCGATCTGTTCCAGTTTCTTTAATGAAGCTAAACAGTTCTTTCAGTTTTCTTGCTCTAATTCTGCTACACGCTCTGCTCATCAAAATCCAGATGATATACTTAATCATGTATCACATGATAGGCGTATTGAACTCGCATTCGTTCACACATGGCGCCTTGGGCAGAGCGCTGTGAAGATACGACACAAGAATCTATTTCAACATGCTTTACCTGAGATTAAAAGATTTTCTGTGGAATATTCGTTTGTTTTTGTTGTTTTTAGTTATGGTCCGTGGCGTGTTATCTCTGCAACGCTCTAAATGATCCCTTCAGTTTTATCCAAAAATCTTCAATTAATGCTAAGAAAAAAATATATATATAGCATTTCTATCAATTTCTGAAAAAACTTTGAAGTCAAATATTTCAAAATTATAAAACGTACAGATAGAATTAAGAAAATGTCAATTATTCAAAAAAAGATACGGTAATCAAGGGCATTTACTGGGGACAATGAAGTGAGCAAGTAGGCAAAAATACAACGTGGTATAAGATAAGGATGAGTGTTCTCTTCAGATTTTTTTTTTCGCTTATTCAGCAAGGCAATCTTAAAAGAACTGGAGGATTTATTATTGGCAGTCACAACCTATGTTATGCAAATGACATCATACTGTTGGCAGTCACAGAAAGAAAACTGCAGATACTTCTAAACAAGATAAGAACAAAATAAAGAAAAGCGAGAAGAAAGGACTAAGCATTCATTGTAAAAAGATGAAATGTATGGTTGTTAAAAGAGGAGCATATGAAAAGAACTATAAATTGGAAAGGTCAAAATAAAGCAATTACAGAAAGGTCAAATCAGAGAAAATTTGACAGAGAAATCCGAAGAGGAATTGGAATAACACAGATGAAGTTAATAGAGGGTTCATTTTGCCATGTAAATTCATTTTAAAGTGATCCCCTTACGGAATTCAAAATAATTATCCTCATACGAAATGTTTTCTTAAGATGAAAAAAAAAGTGAAAACTAGAAATCTGCAGAGATTAATTTATAGTAACATATCAAAAAGAACTGAAGGTTATAATTCAAGAGAAGATGACATTTTAAGAAATCATATCTGAGCATATTTTTTTGTCCTTAGTAGGTGATGGGGTCAATTTACAACGAATTTAAACAACAAGATGGACCTCCTATTAACTTTTATAAAAATTGAATTAACATTTTTTTTTATATTCCTGATCAGGACTTCTTAATCTATATCTAGGATGGCCAACCTGTGGCGCATGCGCCATAAGTGGCGCATTGGATGCTTACAAGTGGCGCATTGGATCCTTTTGATGAAAAGAAACTAAGCCACTTCTACTCATTCATTTCAGTGATTTTATATTTATTGCACGTCCTTTGCAAAAGTGCTAAAAGGATACACCCCAGGTCATAAGCATATATTTTTCAAATAAATAGATTTTATTATAACTTTAAAATATGTCCATATTACAACACGTACTGAAAGGAAGTGAATGTTTGTGTGGCGCATTTAAATTAATCGTACAAAATATTGGCGCATGGAATCAAAAGATTGGCCACCGCTGATCTATATTAATATGAAACAAAATGAAAAGAGGAAATGTTTATTTCTAGTCACAGTACAGAATGTCTAAGTCTATCGAGAATGGAAGATGTAACTGATTAAATCTGTTAAAACGTCTGATAAAAATAGAACGATTGGAGTACATACACGGAATGATGTGTCAATAATGATTGCGATATGAGTCTAAGTAATCATCAGTTCCATGACCGCATGTAGTCTAAGGATCGATACGCAAATAAGCTCCTGGCCGGTTCCCTCCACAGGATTAAAAGCCGGAGAGATATTCATTCATACGCAACGTATATTGTACAAGTATACCTGGCGGGACCCATCCCCCTCAAGGTTAAACTACAGCCGATGAAGGCTCGACTCAGTCACGGACACATGTCCTTTGATTACAGCGGGGAAGCCGCCGCCCTGTCTTTTGACCATCGTATAGAAAACCATCTTTCCAGAAATGATGTACCATCAGCTCATTCTCTGCAAAAAAAATGTGCTTGATGGTTGTTGACCCTGCAAAGAGGTTCACCCGCCTTTTGATAGGTTTGCTAGGTGTTAATAAAACACTCATCGCCGATGGCCACACAAGACGATAGGTAGGTTTATGGTCATATAGTACCAGTAGCAATCTTGGAGTGACCAAATAAACTTTACAATAATCAAAATGAGTTCTGTTATATTAACCAATAATATCTTAAAATACATAAATTGATAAAAGTTTTTATTCTCAAAGAATGACACATATTTTTCACTTGTCTATAGAATAATACTAAAAATAAATACTCGATTCAAAATCTCCAAAATGCTAAAAAAAAAAAAATGAAAATAAATACAAAATTAATAAATCCTCTGCTTAAATTAAAATTTGACTATTTCCAATTTCCAGATGGATTTTTATGACGCCTAATATTCTGAGTCAATTTCAAATCATACAAAAACCTGTTGTTCTTTAATGGAAAGAAAGCTTCATTTAGGACAATTAAATCTCGGTTTTCACTTGTGTTGTTAGTAATTATTTAAATTATTAAACCCATCTGAATAGTAAAATTTTAATCTGATTGGTTGAATTGCCTAAGGAAGATGCTGATGAAAATAAAAGTTTTCTATCGCATTTCATAATGACAATGTTCAGTGAAAATCGAACGCTTGCTTGAGCGTTCTTTTCTCATGATCATCTTATCGAAATTGGCATTTCAGAATAAAACCAACTCTATTATATGATTAAAAAAATCATTATTTATACTATCCTTTATGTCAGTCTATTCACCTCCACGATTGAAGTGAGGAAAAGAATTCGGCAAGACCAAGAAACCATTCCCAAAATAACTCTAATTTGGGGAGGGAGATCTATATATTTCAGTCTGTTCATATCTAACTGTCTCTCTCTCTCTCTCTCTCTATATATATATATATATATATATATATATATATATATATATATATATAAATTTTTCATTATTTTTCTATCTATTTCTGTCTGTTAATCTCTCACACTATATATATATATATATATATATATATATATATTAGTTTAGCTACCTAGCTATCTGTCTGTTTGTCTGTCTCAGTCTGTTCATTATCTATTCATCTATCTATCTATCTATCTATCTATCTATCTATCTATCTATCTAACTATATATATATATATATATATATATATATATATATATATATATGTCTGCCCGTCTGACTTCCTATATATCTATCCTATGAGCACCCGCGTAAAAAGTGCATATATATCCACAGTGCTTGTTGAACAATTACACATACATACACATATATATATATCATTCTGTTTATAACTATCTATCTCAGTTTCATAACTATCTCTCAGTCTGTTCTCTCTCTCTCTCTATCCATATCCATCTATCTATCTATCTGCTTTTGTTCATAATTAGTAATTTGTCCGTGTTCAGTTCATTACTCAATAACAATGATAAGCTGATAGCCTAGTATTATGACCAGTAATATCTTATATTCATATTATTTTAACCTTGTCGGAATTTTGACGGTATATGTCCTTTGCTATTATTAGTTGATTTTGACATATGAGCCTTTGAACATATTTTTGCCAATTATTTTTTTCCTCCGCTCATTCACCAAGTCGGTCTTCATAAATATCTCCAAACAGCTTGATATTTTCATAACAAAGGCACTTGTATTTGACGTCAAGTGTGATAACTATATCATAGCAAAATGTTCCATATATTACAGATATATTCGGCGCAGTTGCAAAGCCTGTTTTCTTTTTTATTCCTTTTCCTCTCTTAATATTTTTTCATTTTTTTTTCAATTATAATCCACTCTTTCTCTTTCTCTCTCACTGTCTTTCACCTTTCTCTCTCTCTCTCTCTCTCTCTCTCTCTCTCTCGTACTCTTTCTCTCTTCTCTCAATCTCTCAAATTCTCTTTCTTCATAATTTTTCTCTTCCTGTCTCCTATTCTCTCTCTCTCTCTCTCTCTCTCACTTTCTCACACCTTTTCTCAGTCTTTATATTAATCTCTTTCCATTTCTCTCTCTTAATCTCTTAATCTCTCTCCTCCATTCTCACATTAACGTTCTTCTTTTAATCTCTTACATTCTCCTTTTTCATACTTTCTCTCTCTCTCTCTCTCTCTCTCTCTCTCTCTCTCTCTCTTACAGCCACTATCACATCATCTCCGACTCTTTCTCTATCAATTTCTACCTTTTTCTCTCATTCCCACTCAGCCTCTGTTACAGTCTCGTTCCATTTCTCCCTCTCTCTATCGAGTTCGCCCTTTCTTTCGAAATCTCACTCTCTCATAATTTCTCTCCGTTTATCTCTCTCCCTCTCTCTCAGTCATTCTTTCAATCTCTTACTATCACACTACCTATTTCTCTTAACTTCTTTCATTATCTCTCTCCCAGCTTCTCTCTCAATGTCTCTCAGCCTCTCTCTCTCTCTCTCTCTCTCTCTCTCTCTCTCTCTCTCTCTCACCCTTCCTCATTCTCTCGGTTTTATTCTCTCATTCTCTTAACCTTCTTTTACCCTTTCTCCTCCTTTCACATTTTTTATCATTTATATCTATCTTTCCTTCACATTCAATTTTTCTCTCCATTTTTTCCTTTTCTTTTCCTTTCATCTTCTTTTTTCCGTCTTTTCTATTTTCTTTCCTTCTTTTACGTTCTTCTTTTATTCTCTTTCTTTTTCTCCCTTCCCTCTCTTTCACTTTTCTTACACTCTTTCATTTTTTTCCTTCTGTTCCACTTTTTAGTTGTTAAGCTTTCCTAAATATTATTTTCGTTGTTCCTTCCTTTCCTTCTTTATTCATTACTCTCTGTTTTTCATTTCCTTCACTCTTATCTTCTTCATTCCATCCACACTTCTTCGTTTACCTCTTTCTAACGCCTTCCATATCCTCAATTCGTTTGCTAATCCAATTCTTCAACAATCAACAATTATTCCGATTGGAACACTGAACGAATTTGTTAAGTGGACAGATATTAAACACATCTTAAGTGGACAGATATTAAACACATCTATAAGGCACCAGTTTTGGAAAATCGATTTTTAAATGCCTTTTTCAAACCTTGAATCGACCGTTGAGACAGTAAAACTGTGACAGTAAAATCCTAATGCCTGATTAGGAGATCAATACCAGATGTTTGTTATTTTGAATGAATATTTCAAGAACAATTTTTAAACGGATGGCACGTAAGAAAGGGAGAGAGATGATAATTCCTTAAAAAAAAAAAAAAATATCATTAAATATATAATCATTTCCGATGAAAGACCAATATATATATATACTAAACCCCCTCTTTCTTTTTTATTCTGTAATGTTTTTTCTTGACAGAATTCTACAATGTAGGAACCGCCTTGCACCCCACCCAAAAATAATGCAGCCTGGTTCTATGGTAAAAACAGAGACACGCTTTCTGATTCTTTTAATTGAATGCTAAATCTTATTTTTAAAATCATCTTATAATTTGCTTGTTTCTTAGGTGCCGCATGTTTCTCTGTGTTATTACTTCAGATAAATAATGGACCATTTCTGTTTGATTGCGAGGATTGACCTGTTATAGGTTACCTGTCCCCTGCCCACAAAACGAGACAAAAGTTATTCTGTCTTGTTTTAGCGTAAGGAAAGGGAAAGAAAGAAAGAAAGAAAGAAAAAAGAAAGAAAAGGTAGAGTATGCGATAACGGAATCATGTATTTTAGCATTCATGCTTCAGTGATATTCAAAAACGTGTCAGTTTTAAAACTTTTCATTTGTACCCTCATACACCTTATGATCATTATTGCAATATTTTGTTCAACTTGTTAAGCTCCAAAATTTAACAATGCAATAGGGGAATTTTCAGGGGTAGTTTATAGTCGTAGAACTCTATTCAACTTACGATTCACCAGAAAATTCAAATCGAAAAGCATAAAATCTTGTATACTGTTATTACTTATTATTTAGAAGTTTACATTTTTACTAGATGTTTTTTCAAAGTGGCCAGCTTGATTGCTATTTCCTAAACAGAATCTCTCGAGGGGACGCTACATTTAAAAGATCAGTCAACGTCAAATTAGAACTGGAAGCAAAAAATTTTGATTTGGGGAGTTTCTCCCAAATCCTCAGCGGCTAAACGACATCAACGGGAGAGAAAACAATGTAAGCCCATTTTTTTCTTTTCGCCACCAGCCGGGTCGTTCATGCCTTGCCGATCATTTGTAAGAGACGTGAAAATGTTACGAAGGCAGATTGCAGGAAGCGGGAGGCGGGTGTGCACGACACCCAACAGAGATCGAGCGATATTCCTAAAATACCAGGAAATATCAATTCTTCGATAAAGCGTGTCTGAGACATTCACTGATAGATTCCTGAATGTCGCTCGCTTAGGCAATAATCAGTCCTCGGTTTCTGCTTATGGATCTACTCAAAACCCCGTAGAGAATACGTAGATTTTATAAATGAAACCTATGTTTTTTCTCTTTATTTTACCTTGCTATTTTCTTAGGTTAGCTTATCACAGTCCAAGGCTAAAGTGGAGAAGGGAAAACTGACGCTAAGATTATTTTGTTCCAACCTTCCAAATCAGTTTTGCTTTTGGCCGCCATTTTATTTAACTTTTCTTTTTTCGGTATTTTCGAAATGTAGATTAGTATGGCAAAAGGCCACTAGAGTAGTTCTCTCAGCAAGAAAAGAAAATCCTCCTAATGTGAAACATACTTGCTTAAAATGATTTTTACTAAATTTTCATCCAATGCAAAACCCAAAAGCCACTTAAATTAAAAGGTTACGGAATGATAATACTTTATGGACGTAAGAGAAGTATGTAGATTATAGGGATATGTAGGATAGATAACAGTTGACCCTAAACTTGAAAAGGTTAAGATTGTAGTGATCAACGGCACATCCTCCCAGGAATCTGCTTGTGTGGAACTTCATCCTTATATACGAAAGGAATAAATTGATTCAGTCCTGTGCACGTGGCCTTGGTGGGTCCCAGCTGCAAAGGTCACGGCTGGTTGTACTGAGGAATGTAGATCCTCTGAACATTTGCCATGGAAATAGTGGTGATAGCGATGGTAGGCTTGCAAACGTTGCGTCTATCGGGAAAGAGGCTGTAGGACTAGAGTTAAATTGCGAACAAAGCATAGTAGGCACCCGTTTATCTTGCGAGATAAAGTTAGCGGTCAGTCTAGTCAATAGTACATCTATTACGTTTAGCCTACCCTGGTACAAGCAAAGAGATTGAGAAACAATGAATATCGAACTTGATATATTAGCAGATTTACCTGAGATGTGCTTGCTAAAATCTGTGCTGCAGTAGGCACCTGTTTAAAATTTGACTACCGATGCCGGAAGATTCTTAATGTATTTCGTTTCATTATATCTAGTTCATGATTACTGTTGTTAAATTATTTGGTAGGTTGGTTGATTTTGTTTAGCGGCATACAACACATCTAGAGGTTATTTAATGTCGAAATCTAAATATTTCGAACACAATTTTATGATTTCAGTTAAATATATTTTGAACACAATTTCATGTCTTCAACTGCAATAAAATGTATTGTCGGTCATTTTGCTATATCATGTATCGTTGGTAATTCTATAAAATTATATTGTTGGTCATTTTGATTCAAAACTGTATTGCTGTTAATTTTACTATAAAAATGTATTTTTATGCTTTCATAGTTTTTTTGCTTTTGTTTGAAATTTCACTATTAACCCTGAGCAATCTTCCGATCAGAGTCCTTACTGTCGAATGTATTTTATCGTTATAACCAGGACTGTTGTTAAATTAAATTTAAAGTTTGGAAAATTGTTTCTATAAATAATAAAGATCATTAAGAATTCCATGAGATATCTAAGTTAAAGGAGACGGAAGCGTGAGAGTCTTTGAGGGTTTGTATGTCGAGTCGCTGAGTTAGCTGAATATGGTAAATTAGAACTGACACAAGGAAAAGAAATAAGGCAAACGTTTGTATAATCAGATATTTCACCTTGAGTTTTTGTCATGACTTACCAGAAGCAAGAAATGATTTTACTTTTTAATTAACAAGTCTTTTGCGGGTATGCTTACTTTATTCGTACAGATGTTTTAACAATAGGCACGAAGATGGAATCTCTATTTTCAAACAAGAGCTTTCGTTTAATGATCTACAGGGTGGTCCGAATGTTTTATCACACCTATATAATATAATTTTCTATTTCAAATGACTGACACAAAAGTGTTGGTTTTCATACAGACCTTCTCGATGTGTGACGGCGTGAATAAACTGAATCCAGTACATGTGCTTTGTATTACTTGTTCTCCTATTGTTCTCATTACTTTTTGGTAGGTAGCAGCGAGACTTTCGGACCACCCAGTACATAATGCAACAAGATATTATTGTGAATTAAAATTTGGTAGATTTGTTACTTGCATATTTTCAAGGGCTTGCTCATTCAGTCATAGCATATATATGATCTGCTTTCTCTACTTCTGGGATAGTCAACACTGATTCTCTATAGCATAAACTTTATTTTCCATAAGAGACTATTTTGATCAGTGAATATTAAGAAAAGACTTTTCTGCAGAATGGTTATAAATTTTTCTTTTTTGATATCTCAGAAGCTTTGAACGCCTATTTCCCAACATTATTCCTCCATTATAATAGAAAATCTGATTTATTTAACAGTGGGCTGCAGGTGGTTCAAACGAAATCCTGACCTGGTATCTCGGCTTTAGTCACTTTTCTACCGCCGCAATATATCTTCTCTGCTTTTTTCTCTAAATTTTTGATGGCAGTTGTTCTGAGGAGTTTCCTATTTTGTAACTCAACTTCATCAATTTAAGCGCAATACTTGATTGGCAGATATGTCTCTCCATTTTACTGTTGAAATCTTTAAATATAACCGTAATTTCTATTCTAAGAGTTTCTTCTCTCTTACTTCTCGATTGTGGAACTCTCTACTTACTTTCCTGTCAACTACAATCTTCAAATGTTTGAATGCAGCATCAATCGTTATATTCTATCTTTTTGAAAAAAGGATCTATACCTATGTTTTATAGATTATGCAAAAGCGTTGGATAAAGTATGTCACAAAGAACTGTTGGAACTGCTAGGTAAACTCTACATAGGTAGGAAGGATATTAGCAATAACCCAGAATCTATATTGGCAGCAAACCGCTTGTATACGGATAAGAAATTAGTTCAGTAGATATGTATAAAAAGGAATGCTTTTTTCTCACCAAATCCTTTCTACTTATACATCGAGGTGATTCTGAGAGAATTAAAAGTCCTACCAAGATTAATGATGAAGAATAGAATTTAAAAAAATGGGATAAACGAAAAACAAAGTATATCAGAAACAACCCACATTAAATAAAATATTTTTCACCAGAGAAAACAAATATCTTTTAATGTACAAAAATTACTTAATAGGCGTACAAAATACTAATAATAAAAATAAAAATACATATAAATATTTGTTGCAACTTTTTCTCGTACGTGTTAACTTTGTGCGACCGTTTTGTACATGATGTTACTTTGAATTAATTCGAATTCCAGCATTCCAAAAAATACAAGAAAATAGCAAAATTTTTTCAACCACACTGACAAATCCAAATTTGACAATGATTGAGACGGTCGAATTTTCTTTATCAAAAACAAGACGAAACATGAACTTCGGCCACTTATCCACTAATTATACTCACTAATCATATATATATATATATATATATATATATATATATATATATATATATATATACTAATTATATATATATATAATTATATATATATACATATATAT